AGAAACAGGAATAGAAGGATAAGTACACTAAATTAAAGTTGGCCAGGTAGCAAGAAGACTGGTTCCATGAGATTTTCTTCTTTTTTCTTTTTCTTTTGGCACTGGGATTTGAACTCAGGACCTTTCTGTTGTCAGGTGGGTGCATGTGCCGCTCATCTATATCCTAAGTTCCATGAGATTTTCTGATTCATATCATCTTATGAAATTTCCACTGATCACTGCTGTGCCACATTTAGAAACAGCCGTTTAGTGCCACAAAATCTAGCATTGGCCAGTATTAACTCTGTAATCTCTCACTTTTCTCATGTATCCTGTAAACAACTAAGGGCTATAATGGAAAAGACTAAGAATGCCTTCTTTTTGCTTTCCTTGATTCCTTCTGTCTGGTTGAGCATTTTGTATATGTTGTTGTATTCTAAAGATGAACACACTGGACTACAAGAAATGGTTTTTAACAGTTCTGTCATTTAATATCATTTTATTTTTTTTACCAGAGTCATTGGCACCATTATGATACTGTCCTTGCCAATTACAGTGTTGCGTGGGGAGTTAATGGAGATGGGGACTCAAGCAAGTTCTATGAGACAAAGTGCCTTTCATTGATGAATTATCTCTTCCAGGCACAGCGGGAAGGCAGTTCGGGGAGAGTGGGTTAAACATAATGATTAGAAAAAAAGAGGCTTGAGTTCAATCAAAGAAAGAAAAAAAGAGATGAGAGGTTGGACTATCCTCCTGCAAGGTCCTTAGAAAACTACTTACTTGGTAAAGACTGTAAGGTCTAGGCCCTCTGACACTAGCGAGACATCAAAAATATGATGGAGCCAGTACAAACCAAAACGAATGGCATCACAAAGCTATTCGGCCTCCCGAATATAAAAATAAAAGATGCCCTCATGCTGGGTCTGCGGAGCGAGGCTGTGATCGCTCAGGCCCTGACGTCCAGCAGATGTGAACAGCTGGCGAGTCCAGCCTCTGCGCCTGCCCGGGCCCTGGGTGCCTTGCTCAGCCTCTCAGCCCTCGGCTGCCTCCTCCGAATGGAGCTGAGCCGTGTCCGCCCGCTCCGGCTGCCGTGACCCACAGGCCCCGCTGGTAGCCGCAATAGCAGGGCACAGCGAGGTGCACTGCAATAGCTACGTAATCAGTTACGGCTTGGCTCTAGTTATTCTTCGTATTATCGCCACAGTACAGCCACGAGGCCAGATTTGCCCACGCTGGGGCATGGAATATTGCAGTATGTCTATCGTGTGCTGATTTGCAAGATGTTTTCCAAAAACCTGAATTTCTACTGAATTTTTAGTTTCTCCTAAGCAAAGGAAGAGTCTTCTGCCACCTAGCGGTTCCTGATGAATAGCAAAGAAAAAACTGAAAGACGCCAAAACCAAAAGATTTATGCTGTAAAACTTTTCTAAAGAAGTGATACAGAGAAATTAAGACCCTTAAATTTCCCATACAGAGAATTCTAGTATTTTTTCTCTCTACAATATTGCACGGATAAAACTACATTTAAGTATTTAATTGAATATTTAACAGTGTCTTGGAAGAGTCCTTAAACTTCATGACTTTTTTTTTTTT